TTGCATTACTAATAGGTCTAAATTGTGAGATGGTAGGGTTATCGACCCTTCTAAACATATTATCGAATCTAATACTAACATCGGTGTTTCAATCGGTGTCTTATAAGTGTTTCAATTGAACAAATTGTTTTTGATTTTTTATCACTTTTGCTTTGTCAATTTTGAGTGCATATTTTCACGCTAAAAGATGATAAATTCGTGTCTTTTGATTTCTTTGCAACGTGTACCCAACTATATAAAAGAGCTAGCCATCAGTACAAGTACTTCTCAGTGTGCAAAAGAATTACAAACAATGCAAACGAATCAGTTTCCTGTCTTCCATCAAAATTATTGAAAAGTTTCTCTCAATTTTTCAAAGTGTGACATCTGAGTACTTGTAGTGGCTTCAATTTTTCGCGTTTCCAAAGCAGAAAAAAATGCTGAGTGCTTGTTTTGTGTTATTTTTGTCAATTATCATGTCAACTGATGCCTTCCTGATGTCTGACATGATTGACTGGAATTCTTTTAAGGTGACGTTATATTTGGTACATTTTCCCCTGGAAACGAGAATTTTTCTTTAAACAAAAATCAAGCTTCAATTTTCATCTACAGAAAGAGCATTCCAAACACTATGATACACTTGATGATGAGATACACCACTTTCGAATTTTTGTTGATAACAAATACAAAATCCATGAACACAATATGCACCATTACAATGGAGTTGCTTCCTTCGAAATGGGCCTAAATAAGTACAGCGATTGGACACATGAAGATTTTGTTAAAACAATGAATGGATACAGATCCAACAAAGAGTAAGTTGAATTTTATACACATCTTTTAGAAGATGAAAAATGTCTTGATTGTTTTGCTGTTTCTGTTTCTTTCGTTGAACAAAAGTTTGAACGATGATGAAATTTTGGCATCAACTTTCTCTGAATCAGCCAATATCGATCTACCCGAATCTGTGGACTGGCGTGACAAAGGAGATGTTACCAGAGTAAGAGATCAAGGAAGTTGTGGTTCTTGTTATTCTTTCGCTGTAATTGCTGCCGTCGAAAGCCATTATTCCATCAAAACTGGTCACTTATTGTCGTTATCTGAACAGAATGTCATCGATTGTTCGAAATCATATGGAAATAATGGTTGCAATGGCGGAGATCTAGATTCGGCAATGAATTATATCCGTGATCATGGTATATATACAAGAAAATCGTATCCCTACCGTGGTTACGATCATCATTGCATGTTGCGTGCGAAAAAATCGAGAGTCAATGTTAAAGGATTTATGCGTATTCCAAGTGGTAATGAAATAGAGCTACAAAAAGCTCTTGCTTTCCATGGTCCCGTTGCAGTGTCGATTGATTCTTCACATGATACTTTTCGTCATTATATGGATGGCATCTATCATGACCACAGATGTAGCAGTGCAACAGAAAACCTAGATCACTCTGTATTACTCGTTGGGTATGGAAACAATCCAGATGATAACCGTTGGATTACGTCTTTTATAGCATATGCTCACCTTTTAATTCTTGTTTTTTGTCATAATTAAACCTAGGTATGGGACTGATGAATACGACAGAGACTATTACATTGCTAAAAATAGCTATGGAGATAGCTGGGGAGATCAAGGCTATTTCCGGATTTCCCGTAATCACAACAATCATTGTGGCATTGCCACAGATGCTTTATTTCCTATTGTTTAATTTTTGTATTGAAAAATATGGTTGTCCAACTTAATAAATGATTGACAAAATGAAAATAATTCAAATTCAACTGTTCACACTTTAATTGAAACATATTTTCATTCAAATAAAATTTGATCAAATTGCGATTCAAGCAATATTTGGATTTTTTCATTTGATTGGAAGAGTTTTTCGGCCAAAAGATTAAATGAAAGCTAATGATGGAATCGTAGCAAATTATCTAGAATAATTTTGTTTCCAAACGATTCAAATTAGGTTAACCATTTTTCGTTCATTTCATTACAATCACTTCGGCTGAATTATTTCCATGAATTCAACGTGCTTTTTTGTTGTTCTTGAAGAATAAACAAACCGTTGATCATTTGTTTACGATCGATCACACAGCCATCTGTTGACAGTGTTTTAAAAGCTTCTGTTTGAACTCTTTTGTTTATTAGCATTTGGAAGGCGTTCTGTATTGAATAAAAAAAGAAGAATTGATGGAAGTTGAATGTTCTTTTCTTCAAAATAAAGAAGAATTGCAATATTTGGCCTCTTTGTACCAAATTATCAGATAAGTCTATACAAATGTTCCAGAAGGATGATGTATGACATGTCATTGTGATCATATGGTTCACATACACACACAAGTAAATGAACAAACAAAGAAGACGGATAAAACTTCAATGTCAGTGTCAAACGTGACATCTCGTCTGATTCATCGCATCTTGAAATACCATAAAGTTTTGTTTGTTTGTTTATTTCTCCATCTAGGCTAGTTCACCATATATAAATAGTGTGAAATTTGTAGAAATGTTTTCGGATGATCAACAGACTATTTCTTTTGCTGATGGTAGCAAATACTATCTCAAACCAGTGTTGGGTAAGTTTTTTTTTTGTTCAATACATTGGATTCTAAAAGTGAAAATGATTGAATGCTGTTTGTTGAGTGGAAATTGAAATGTTATGTCCTTGAACATCTTAATAAAGAATGTTCAATTTTCAGGGGCCTCTCCCATTGATTTATTCATGAAAAGCTGTGATGTTTTCAAGGGAAAGTCGGTCGACGAAAAAGATGTTGTTATAACAATTTGGAAAATTGATCTTCGATCGTTACATGACAAATGTCTAATAAGCTGTGACGTCAGAGGGTGTAAACTTAATCATGATGCTGAAGAAATTATGGAAGAATTCCAAAGACGTGTCAAATTCCTCATAGAAAAGGTTCATCATGTCAATTTGATGCCGTACACAAATGTGGACTGCAACGTTTCGGATGGATATTTTAATGTGAATTTAGTTCAGGAATGTGTTGAAGGTGTAAGCATAAAAAAGTTATTCGAACAAGGCGTGGTGCCGAGTCTTCCACAGATGGCCGAAAGCGTTTTAAAAGCAATTTCTCATTTGCATAGCATGGATCCCAAACTCAAACATAGTCGTATTGATGAGTGTTCCGTATTTTTGGATAAATCGGGAGTTTATCGAGCTGCCGATTTCCATTTAATACCATATTTGATGTATTTAAAGGGTGCGGGATTACATCCAGCAGCAGCAGATGATTTGAATGCCCTTGGATTTCTAATGGAATATGGAAATATAAAGACTCAGCGCTTGATGAAAGATTTCATCTACAAATGTTGCTCAGAAAAAGAGCAATCGTGTTGGGATTTATTGTCACATGAATATTTAACAAACGTACATTCTGTTAAATTTAATCCAATCTATGACGGACCCTTTCTAAAGCATTTCGACATTGAAGGCTCATTGGGCAGTGGATCATTCGGAAATGTTATCAAAGCAAAACACTCGAACGGCCAAGATTCATATGCGTTGAAATTGGTGGAAATTCCAAAGGGAAGTGAAATAAAATGCGGAAAAGTGAAACGAGAAGTCGAACTCATTTCACAGCTCAATCATGAAAATGTTATAAAATATGTACGGAGCTGGGAGCAAGAAGTCGATTTAGCTGAATTGGGAATTATTGATGAAGAATCTGAATACTCTTACACACCTGAGTAAGTATTTAAGTGGAATTGGAAATTTACAATAAATAAACATATTTCATAGGCTAACAAACGAATCGGACTCATCGATTATTTCGAATTCACCGCTCAGGAATATGATGATCATTCAAATGGAACTCTGTGACATGACTCTCCGGTAATTCAAATACATGTAAATTGTACGATGACACATCCTTATTTCTGTTCAAAACATTCAATAATTTGACCAGGGATGCAATGAAAAATTGCCATACTGCAAGGAAACGAATACCTCAACAGTGGTTTATTGACATTGCTCAAGATTTAGCTTATCTCCATTATAACGAAATCATTCATCGCGATCTAAACCCAAAGAATATTCTATTGGACTCTTCCGGACGCGTGAAAATCGCGGATTTTGGTTTAGCCATCACAATTGAGTTGGTATTCAAACAGAAGCAAAAAATAACCATGATCACCAGTAGCAGCAATGATAATAGCTCACACACCGGACATGTGGGCACATCATATTATGTAGCACCTGAGTTGAAGGCAAAAACTGCTTCAAAATCAAACTATGGGACGAAATCGGCTCCGGTATGCGACTCATTTACGTCTATGTATTGTATGCGTGAGTCTCCATCGTTTGGCGCCATCTGAAGACGCGAACATGAATTGTGTATACGAACATTTGATGTTCGACATGTAAAAACCAATTTAAATCAGAGAATTGCGTACAAAAAATTGAAAAATAGATAAATGACGATATTAGAAATAAAATAATTGCATATTCTTAAAATATTTTTTCAGAAAATAAACAAAATAATACATATATAATACACAATCATTCTTTCAGATTCTCCACGCGTTCATTGCACCACTCTCCACTTTTACATACACTTTCTCCATGCGATTTGACATTTGTTTGTTTACGTTTTTGCATCTGCTTGATGTGTCAAATCCAAGCGATCAAACAAAACAAATTTCATAATCAACAACACACAAACTTTTTTCATTACACGTTTTTTTTGGGTATCTTGTAAAATAATGGCACACACACGATTCGAAAAAAACCCAGCAGAAAAGACTGTAATGCGGGTTTAAAATTGTTTACTGCAAGTGAGATTCACAGGCCGATTCCAATATCATCGCCAATTTATTTCCATTTTTTCTCTCGATTCGTTGAAAATCCATTAAATTCACACGGTTCTCACATCGGCGAATGGTTGGAATTAGTTCCAAAGATTTTAACCGAATTCCCAACAAAAAACGTATTTCAAATCGATCCATCGAATCTCTCAAGATCTTGTTTTTAATCATTTTTTTCTTCTTCTTCTCTCTCTCTCTCACTCTTTTATTTTTTCAACACCATTCAACTCAAACTTTGCGGTACAAATTTGTTGTGTCGATGCGAAAAGATATTTTTTTTTCCGTTTCTGGCCAATTTTCGATTGGTTTACGTTTGCGATTGTGTTAAATTGAAAACGCAACGTAATGAGAGAGAAAAAAGAAATCGAATCAAAATGAGAAAAAAATGAAAAAAATAACACAGAAAAACACACACTCGACTGCTTGCATTGAACCTTTTCGTCTATTTTTTTTATTTTATTCGTGGTGTAGTGTTTAACTGTCAGTGCGTACCATCTTCAAATGTATTTATGCCATACATTTATTCATACGTTCGTTCGTATACGTATAAACGATGCAGTATTGTATGTGGTTGTGGCTGGCCAAACCAAAACCGTTGTTTTGACATATGCATATTTCTCCACAGCTTGCCATTCTATCAAAACAACGGTTTTGGTTGTAGATCGACTTATTAGATGGTGCTGTCATCTGATAATCGCTATTATTACTCCTTTGAATAGGTCTCTTGGACGAAATCGGACATCTACTCGCTCGGAATGATCTATTTTGAGTTGAAACATCCACCTTTCGGCACAGATTCGGAACGACATCATGTTTTGACTGACGCTGGAAGTAATGAATTTCCAGATTTCATGCGAAATCCAGAAAACATTTCCATAGCACGTGTATGTATAATATTAACTTATGAAAACTTGTAAAAAAAAGACAAATTGATCTCTAATATGTTTCATGCAGATTATCAGAGAAATGCTAGACCCTGACCCACAGAAGCGGCCGACTGCAAGCAAAGCTCAATGGGATTTGAATATGCTATACTATCTTACTCACCTAGAGGATTTATTATAATAAGTTGACGATTGCCATGCATCTTTTTTCGAAGATTTTTTAAACGAAAAAAATGAAGGAAAAATCGCGATTTTGAAAGAAATTTAGAATTTAAAATAAAAATAATGAACGGTATCAGTTTCGTGTATGAAATAATGTGTTTGAAACACTTGTTCGGATTTCATTTTCATTTAGATTTTTAATAGCGAAGTAACGTCTTTTTCAGGAAAAGAAATAGGTAAGTTGTTAATCGAAAATCTTGAATCGAAGTGGAGTATCAAAAAATACACAGAATTTATACTGAAAGTCAACGGTATATAAACGAGACTATCTATAGATGTCGAAAAAAACAACAACAACAATTTATTCTGAATATACCGCATGCAGAAATTGTGCTGAGGACGGATCAGTCGCTGCGAACGAATCGTACTGAGAACAGCATTTTATTGGAACAAGTCCAAAAATAAATTGCAAATTCGTTTTCATTCTGACGGAATTGCGTATTAAGTCGCAAAACCACTTTGATCTTATAGCATTTTTCACATTGTGAAACCGAGTTGGAAAAGATTTTAGAGAAAAAGGTTTTTGAATTGTTGCTGCTTTTAAAAATATTGTTGAAAAAATTGCCTTCGTTTTGGAATTCTTCAGAATTCGATTTCATAATAATCAGAATTAGTCATGTCACATAATCAATGGTTTAGAGAACAAAGAGGTGCATTTGCAAATGTAAATGCACAGAGCTCACCACGTCCTGACCCTAGCAGAGAAGAATATGGAAGGTAAGGTAACGTGTTTTTTTAAATTCAAAATTACGGATTTTGAATTTGAAAATTTAGAGTAGGATTTGAGTGGTGAATGTCGATTAGCAATATTGAGTATTTTCAATATTTAGACCGGTAGCAGGAAGTTTAACAGAAGCCCGCCGACAAAAAGCCAACATCCATATAATTAGAGAAATGCTACAATTGTGTGAAATCATTGATACTGGAGGGTATGTGCATTGTGAAGAAACACCGGAGCTAAAAGTGATGTTCTTCGGTGAATTATTCGACGTAAGATTGATTGATTAAAATGTTGATGTTATAAATTCAAGGCTATTTTTGCATCAAACAGATTTACGCGTCAATAAATAACAAGCTGGTTGGTTTACTTTTGAGAGCAAGAAAGCAGGGATTCATTGACTTTGAAGGCGAAATGCTATTCCAAAGAAGAGATGACGAGGTGCCGATTTTCATGCTGAAAACTACCGATGAAATCAAAGCAATTCTAAATGAGAAAATCGAAGGGATACAACAAAATGCAAGCGAAAATCCGCAACCAACTGATATGTTGTTGAAATAAATTAAAAGAAAGAAAATTTATTTGAATCTTGTCTAATAATTAAGCTAATCGTCGCCGCTTCTGAGGTCAGTGCACTTTAGATTAAAAAAAAATAAACTAAAAAATTCATTTTCATCTAACATTAAATTTATCACTCAATCACTAAAGAAACCATATTCTTTTTTGAGTTGAGAAAAACTCAACTGTGGTGTTGTTTACTTAGTTCTCGTTGATTTGGAAGGTCATTTTACCGTTCATACAATCATTTGTTCAATGTTTACTGTAAATAAAACTGAACGATATAAATAAACGATTTTGTTATAAATAAATGTTTCTTGTGGTTTTGGCGTGAATGCAATGAATTGTGCGTATTTTTGCATTCATAATAAGTTTCAGTCACTCTCTTAGTGGCGAATTTTCAAAATCTAAAAATAAACAACTTGGATGAATCATTTTACGGAAACGTGTGCGATGTATATGCATAGTGGCTATTTTACAGAAAAAATGCAATCAAATCATATTTTTTGCCACTTATATAACTATTGTTTGGTAAATTTGGAGCACATTTTGTCACGTTTTAAGAGCTCGTTAGAATCTATTAGGAGTGTTCACCCTAGGGGGTAGGAACACAAGCGCTTGAGACGAATTCGTACGAATATTCGTGAATTCTTGTGATTGTGTATACGAGACATTCGCAGCGCAGTGAGTGTACAACAACAATAACAAAGCCACGAACGCATGAATATATGCGAATACATACGAATGAAACAACTTGTTCCTAGCCCCTAGTGTTCACCTATCAATATAAATGAACTAGCCTTCTCTACAATTTCTTATTTCTCTTTGATTAGTTCAAGTGTTGATGTTGATACAAATATACGGTTGCTGCTTTCCAACGACAATTATTCATCTTTTTTTTATGAAAATATAGTGTGAAATTTGAGTGCTCGTTTTTACTTGGAAATTCGGAATTTTCTAAGCAAAAAAAATATGATGAGTAAATGTGTTGCTGTGTTCGTTTTAATATCGGTTTTTGTTGTGGCCTCTCCAACGTCTGAGGAACGTCTATGGAACGAGTTTAAGGTGAATTTAAATCGTATTAACCCTTTGACGACCTTTGGGACACATATGTCCCATTTTGTTTTTCGCTTATAATTTCCACATTTGTTAACCGATTTTGATGAATATAGGCTTTTTGGAAAGAGAATGAATGTAGGTACCAAAGAATATTATATAGTATTGACATTTTTCACCAGCTCGCTCCACATATGCCTCCAAAGTTGAAAAATCTTAACTTTTTTTTCACACTTTTCAAAATCTTATATTTTTTAAACGGTTAGAGCTAGAACTTCGGAATATTAGGTGAAAAAATGCGGGCAATTTTCCTATTTCCAAAACTACTCAACATGTTCGAAAATATTACTCAGGCCATACGATATGGCTCTGCCAGTAACACTCTATTTTTGGTCTCATTTTTGAGTTTTACATGTAACCTTATGGAGTGACTGAAAAAATGGGGTCGACCGACCAAATTTTTTTCTTCTTCTAATTAAAATTTTCTTAAGGTTTTTGGGGTCGCTGATCACGAATCTGCAATCAGAATTGCAAAATTCCCACCCGTTCAATCTTGGTCGTCAAAGGATTAACGAATATCTTTTTTGACAATGTTTCGATGAGTGAAAATAAAGAACACGAAGTGCAACCGTTGCTTTCGATTTTAGACGAATGAAAAAGAAGTTCACATCAAGACTTTATTTTCATCCGTAGAAAGAGCATCGAGGGGCAGATCACTCAAAAGTAATTGCAATAAAAAGAAGTAATTGCATTGGTAATTGCAAGAAAAATGTAGTAATTGTTAATCAACTACTAGACTACTACTACTTAGTTTTCGCAACTACTTTTTTCGTAGCAATTACCTATGCAATTACTTTTTTCTCGTGCAATCACTGCTAAATTTCGCAATTACTATTTTGAGTGATTTGCCCCTCGAAGAGCATTCAAAGCACTATGATACACCTGCTGAGGAGATGCATCATTTTCAAGTTTTTGTTGATCACAAACATAAGATCGATGAACACAATCTGCATTATGGAAATGGAATTGTTCCATTCTAAATGGGACTGAACAAATACAGCGATTTGACGCACGAAGAATTAGTTGAAAGGATGAGTAGACACAAGCCCAACATACAGTGAGAAATATTTATCTTCTTTTTTCATTGAGCAAATTGATATTTTCTCCCATTTTTCTTTCATTAAGTGAGATCGATACAGATGATAAGTCCTCAATTTGTGTTGCATTCGACGATTTTCAACTACCAACTTCTGTTGACTGGAGAGAAAAATGTGCTGTTACTGTAGTATAAGATCAAGGATTTTGTGGTTCTAGCTGGGCATTTTCAGCCATTGGTTCTAAATCTGAAGTGCAGTTTTTGTCATAGTAAAGGCCTTTTGTATAATGCTGCATTCAGCCAGAAGATTGCTTACCGGACTGTTGACCAAGTTTGTGGATCTGATGGCCTTTTTAAAAATTAGAAAATTCTCTGAGATATATTAATAATGTGTAATAATATTTATTTGTTTATTCATTTATGAACGATACAAGTGTATATACTTAATAATTAAGTATTCTGTGATTTTCATTTTTTGGTCAAATGCTTAATAATAGGGATTGTCATCGAATCACAGTTTTGTTCATTGTAATTATCACTTGTGAAATACTGATTTTTTTCGTTAGGCACATACATAATATAGATAGAGATAGTTAAAAAATGATAAATCAACCGTTATAATTTTTTTGTTTTTTTTTCTTTTCAGTGTATGGAAAAGTGTAACTGGCGTTGTGATCATTCACAATGTACCCGACTCTGCCACGAGCAATGTGACCGTGAACTGTGCGAACAACCAAATTGCGAAAAATGTGAAAAATGTCAACGTCCCTCGGTAGCATTTTGTGGTGAATCGCCAATTTGTACAAATTGCGACAAAAATGAAATGTATGAGATACTCTTCGGAGAAGAACAAATGAAAGGCGCTCGTTTCATCAGATTGGTAGATTGTGGCCACATAATTGAATCTAAAGCATTGTTTAGTTGGGTAGCGCAGGATAAGTTAGATGAAAAAAGCATTCAATTCAAGACCTGTCCAAGATGCAAAATGACCATATGCCGCACAAAACCGCTGAACACTCTGATTCAAACCAGCCTGGAAGATATTGAAGCTATCAAGAATAAAACATATGGCGATCCAAAGGTGAATAGATCAATCCAACTGGATTTGAACACAAAAGCTGAGAAGACTTGTGATAGTGCTCTATTCAAAAGTTGTCCTCAATCCATCAAACAAATCGCCAAGGATTTATTCAACGAAACGAAATTGTCAAACAACGAAGCACCAAAATCAAGTCAGACGTTGAATGCACTCAACAATAAACTTGTCTTGATAAAGACTGTCGCTGAAATCTATACGGCATTCAAGGGCAGATCACAAGCCCATCGTCTGAATGTCAATAAAATAATCGACCCGTTTTCCGATCGTCTGATAGCAGTAATATCATTCATCGAAACATTCAAAAATACAGCCCAACAACGTGCCGACATCTCAGCCGAAATATCGTTCGTTGCAGTGTTTCCATTGTGATAAATCCGATGTGCAATTGGAATCGGTCGATGATGGTTCCGCTTCAATGTTGTTGCCTGCACAACGTTCGCATTTGAGCCTGTTTTGAAAGGAAAAAGAAAATAATTCTTCGACAAAATCAAGTGATTGGATGCGACAACAACTTACATTGCATGGGTGTACGCACGTCTGACTTGCGCTGTATGTATTCCTGTG